GATCCTGCAGTGGATTAAACTTTGGCTTTTTGGGAGTTTTCTTGGGAGATTGGTGATGTTTTACGGTATATTTAATTTTCAGAATGTTACCTCATTTCCACGGTTTGGAATAATTATATTTTGATAAGAAAAAATAATACTTGCTGAGTTTTGAAACGCATTCAAAGAAAAATACTTTTTGTTTCCAAAGTTTAAAAAATGCGATTACTAATCGTTGAATTATTATTAAAGTTAATTATACTTTTCTTTATAAAGATGCCAAATGATAATTTATAATGATTTATTTACAAAAATACAAAGTATTTATCGTTAATTGACTTCAATTATTTTATAAGTTTTGAAGATCACAGAAAATAATTGTATGATCATTGTTCAAATTCAGTGTTCAATAAAAAAAATTCAATCAAATCTTATCTTGTAACCATTGATACTTTATTTATATTTTCACCAAAAAAGCATAGCCGTCTCATAATATTCTTATTTTACAATTTTATTTTTATCACGATTTGTTGCAAGCAGACTTGCATCTCGCCATTGTTCTAGGTCCTTCAGCCATGTATTTATTTCAATGAATAATTTATCAAAAAAAAATTGGAGGTCTCCTCACAAACAGCATAGCAGGAGACATCGCTGAGGATTACGACAAGGATTTGCAGCTACAACAGCTGAAGAATGATGTTTTGCAGACCATCTGGTACAATCAGGATTTGTCACACCAGTTGGACAGCATGAACATCAAGATTGGACTGCTCATCCAGAACAGAATAGTCCTGCAGGATGTAATTGCTCATGGGTAGAATGTGGAGACACTTGCCAAAGAGAAACAGCATCAATTTAGAAAAAATACAGTCTCTGAGAATGTGAGCAATCGCAAAGGCCTGAAATCCTTGACGAAGGAGGGGAGGAAGCGTTTGAGGGATATCAACAATTGTTCTACGCTTTACAAACAAATACTGATTTTTTATCGAAGTTGATATTCTTGATACCCCAGAGCAAAATAAATAAATTCCTCCAGAATGTCATTCTGACACTTTCAAATTTTGGTTCCAACATCAGAGACGAGTATTTTCTTCTGAAGCTCTTTCGTAGCGCTCTGCAGGAGTAAATAAGATCGAAATTTCAGAAACCATCAGAAGTTGTGACTGGAAATACTTTGGTTCTGAAAATGGTTGTTCATTATTTACGACAGTTGAATGGTTTTGCACTTCATTAGATTCTGGGCCCAGAGAAAGTTCTGGAAGACAGATCTGTCAGCATCGAGACAAGTCCAGTGGCATTAACAAGGGCTGGAGGAATCAGCTGGAGATGGAGAAAGGTGAGAGTCTAGATCTACCTTATTGTGTTAATCAATGTACGTCATTAACTTTAATAATATTATACTTTATTTTAATATGTATGTCAACGACTTTATCGAGGAATTCAAATACTCAAGGACATGGTGATGGAATTCCTCAAACAAATAATAGAGTCCAGAGATATAATTCCTTATGGTATGCTCTACAAGTCGAAGGTACTGTACGACACTCTCACTGAACAATTTCCTCAAGCTCCATAGAAGGATATTCTCAAGGTTGTGGAGAACTTCGTTTATTACAACTTTATAAATGCTACCATTGTGGCTCCTGATGCTTTTGATATTATCACCCTACTAGTGGATCGTTCATTGTGAAATGACCAGAGGAGAAATCTAGCTAGTATTGCAAAAATTCTGCAATTTGCAGCCTCGACAAAGGCCTTTGCGGATAAGGCAACCCACGTGATGTGTCTGAACCCCTTTATCATTGACTGCCACGAGAGATTCAAAAAGTTATTCAGGTCCTGCTGTCAGATCCCATCCCTAGAGGAACACTTCAGCATTCATCAGTACACAGAGTCCACTCTAATCAATCGTCCTGATATTTATATTTCCATTCAGGAAATCTGTAACACCCCCAGTCTTGTTTTGGAGTACCAGCACAAAATAGCTCCAGATCCACTGGATCCCCTCCACGAACTTCTAGATGATCTGGAAGCAGCACCAACTGTTGCTACATTGATGGGGGTGGCTGAACCAGTTTGTGAGGCCACGTTGACACGAATGGGTAAGACAGAGGTTTGTCTTGTCCTGACTAATAGATTTGAAGTTCCTGAAGCTGATGATCAGAGTCTTCATAAATTATTCATTAAGACGAAAGAATTGTTGGTGTCAGTGCTGCAGTTTCTCAAGGGAGATGATCTTGTGAGTGCTCTTGAGGCTCCATGTCCCTCACCAAAGCAGGAGAAAATGTACGATGCCAAGTGTTCATCAATTTCACCATCGATGAATATCCATATATGCAGAGGGAGCTCATCCCTCAATGACTGCAGAGTTCAGCTGAGGGCATATCTCCACAAGCTAGAGCAAGGGGGGATGGGTCACCAGGGGTGATGGCTATCAGAGTCTCGTGACAGCAGTTGCCAAGGATCTTTGCAATAAAGGAAAATATCGAGCGATGAGAAATAAAGAGTTGCAGACATTGAGATTGACCAGGCAGAGGCTCCAGGAGAAGACCAAGTATTATGCCGAGCAAGTGGAGTATTATAATGAGTACATTCAACGAAGTCTGGAGAATCTTCACACTGGAAGGGGATCACTGAGAGCAATCAAAATGACTGAAAAAAATAATCATGCAAAATTGAAGTCCAAAGCTACTTTAAAATATTCAGCAGCTAAATTGGCTGAAAAGGGAGTGCTATTGGAGATCGATGGACTTTCACCATCGCAATTAAAAAATGTTACCTTTGAAATCACTCCCACTGATCAGACAGGAATGTTTACCATTAAGGGGAAATTCATGGGGGTGGAGATGGAGAAAATAGAGATTGACATTCAGAAATTACTGGAGTTGCAGTTCGAGGGGGCCCCTATTATGGATATGTTTGGAAAGGCGAAGATCAATGTGAATCTACTGCTGTTCTTGTTGAATAGAAAATTCTACGGGAAATCATAAATTCCAAGAGTTTCATGCGATTGTTCTTTTTTTTATTTCTCACTTTTCAAAAGTGATATCTTGGGAAAATTCGATCAATTTGTGAATTCTTATTGTATATATGTATTTTTAAATAAGGTTTTCATTTTTTTTGTTTTAATAATACTAAAGTTTTTCACAATTATGACACGAGAAGTTAATGCATTAGTTTCTGAGACTTTATGGCTCTTCATGGATCTCCGAGAAAAAAAAAGTGGGGGAGCTCATGGAGTGGCAGAGTGGTTTTACAGAATTATAACATTTTTATAATAATTGTTAAAAAGATCATTTGAGAATTGAATGAATGAGACAATGTGAATTATTGTAAATATCTATATTTATAAGATTTTCATATTTTTAATAATACAATGTCTCTTAATAACTATATAATAACGTGAGAAGTCAGTATACTCACTTTTGTGACAGTGCAACGCAGATAATATCAGGATTATGTCCCCTTAAATTCATTAAATGCTAGTTGGGATTGACCAAGCCTAGACTCCCGAAAAAAATGATAAAATGAGTTGCAGAAGAAAGAAGATCTTAAAAGTACAAGTTTACAATAATCTAAATATTTGAATTCTGACTTTTTCCATGGGCTTTGCCACAAACAACAGATAAAGCCCATTTCACACAATTAAAAAGATATCCAATCAATTAGGGAATATTCATGTTCCTTGCACTGTCAAAGTAAGATAAGGCATATTCCCAACTAATATTTTATATTTATTTCTTGTCATTCATTGTATTAATTCAATCATTTAATCTTTCAGCATGTAAATTTAATTTTTTTTCTTATAAAATCGAACGATGGACAATGGAAAAGAGAAACAATTCTTTCTATTTCTTCATTTTTTAATGAGTTTAGCATTTATAGAGTACTATTGTTATAACATGAGATAAAATTGGTTCTGTGGATGTTGGAGAAAAGATTTTCATTAAGATCTCATCCATCGTATTTATTTATTCTTTACAAAAAAAAAACAAACAAAAAAAAATGACTGAAGTTGAAAATTTGTTGAAAATTGTTGAGTCTGGCTCAAAAAGAGTTTCAATCGCAGGACAAATATCCTTTCATAAAAAAAATGTAAATATCCGAGTTATGCACGAGCCTGCTGAAGAATTATCTCCATTCGAAAACTAGACTGTATATTACACCATAATCGATGTACCATTGATAATAAATAGCACGAATAATCATAGCAATAATAAATTCCCCGAATTGTACATGAATTATCCATTCGTCACAATATTATGAATTCAAAGGGCTGGAATAGCATCTGTTTTCTAGGGTCAATGTGATCCTGGGGCTGTTGAGGGGATTCCATGATTGGGTACTGCTGTTGTTGTTGCTGCATGCTGCATCTGACATTATTCTGATGCATTTTATTGCACATATAATGCATAACAGGAGATTGATGATGTTGCTGATGAAGTTGACGAGGGCTATGAGCTTGATGGTGCTGATTTTGAACAGGCTGATGATGCCCCTGCTGATGATGCTGATGAGGACTTTACAGACCATGTACATGAGCTGACTGATGATGTAGCAATTGGGATGATTGAATTTGCTGTGAATAATGATGCTGAACAGGATACTGACAAATAACTGATTCCCGATGGGATGGAGTCGATATCTGGTTATCACATGACTCAATGATAATGTTATCATCCACTTACATGGTAAAATGCCTTGCGAGTTCATCGCGGATATCTCTAGCCGTAACAGCTTCTATTAGAGCATCATCATTATCAATTGAGTCCTCTACAATTCCATTCTCAACATTATTTTGGTGCTCCAAATCGATGATCACGTTGTGCAATAAGCAGGTGGTTTTGATTATTAAATTAGTAGTCTCAGGACTCTTCTCAATATTTGTATAATAAATACGCCATTTCTGGCTAGTCAGAGCGAACGCATTTTCTACAACAACCCGAGCCTTAGACAATCGCTTGTTGAAGGCTTTTTGAGCTTGTGATAGATTACGGCCACGATAAGGCTTCATTAAAAACTCAGATAGAGGGTACGCTCCATCTCCGACAAAAAAATATGGCAAGTATAAGTTTGAATTATCAACTTTACTTGATTGTGGTATCACAATTTTTTTTGTCATTAGGGCTTTGTAAAACTGAGATGCTTTAAAAGTTGTGGAATCATGCTGGCACCCAAATCCGCCTACATCTATAAAAATGTACCTGTAGTTGGCGTCGACCACAGCTTGCAGGACAATAGAATGATAACCTTTAAAGTTATAATAGAGCTTTCCTGAATTAGGTGGTTTCTTCACAGCGACGTGGCGTCCATCGATTGCGCCAAGGCAATGCGGAAATTTCCATTTCTTTTGGAAATCTTGGGAAATTTTAAGGAAATCACTCACTGAAGGAACTGGCATATGTCTTGATGTCAGTGTCAACCAGAAGGTATTCATTGTCTCAGCAATGATCACAGAAACCGTCTTGATCCCCATCTTAAAGGAAAACGCCAACGTAGAGTAGGTGCTTCCTGTTGCCAAAAACCTAAAAAATTTTTTTTGTACTTGTAAATTGCTCAGAAAACGAACAGTCAATTGCATCTAAAAATGGAATCTGATTGGAACTTGTTAATTTCAATATCAATTCCTTGAATTAGCATGAAAAAATTACCTGATAGTGAGAACCAATCTTTCCTCTGGCATAATTGGTTGGGAGTGTAAATTACACCAATTTTTCACTAGCGACGGACCAATATTTGACAACACATAATCAAACGTTTGGACGGTCATTCTCATGTATTCCAGAAATTTTATAGGATTTTCCCTAATCGCAGGAAACAATGTAACGTATTCTCCGTTGGTTGAACGACTATTATTTAGCCGGTGAGATATATTGAACTGTGAATTCATTGTTGATATTAGTGTCCACTAATACACTGTCAATAGCCACATGAGGTTTGCCGGAAACCGTCATGAGGAATGCGACATTGTCAAGTTTCATCCGGTTGCGTGCGCACGAGTTCACACACGAGACAGTCGATAACGCAGATAAGGATTTTATTATCGAGCAGACCGTGTTTTCATCGATGAAACTTGAGCCCGCTCGGGCGCAATCGAAGCTCATCGGATGAGTTCGGAATAGTCCGAATGACGCTCGAGTCTCCATCGGACGGCGATCGAACGGAGCTCGAGCGACGTCCGAACGGAGCTCGAACGACGTTTGAACGGAGCTCGAACGATGTTCGAGCGGAGTTCGGATTATTTTCGAGCTATGGACGTATAATAGCTCTAGATTGTGAATTTCCATGGTGTTCGCTGTAAATCGAAAAATGTTTTATTGCAAAATTATTTTCAGTTAGAAATTTAATGGGGAAAAAAGATATTTATTGATGATGTGATTTCTGTCAATTTCTTAAATATATTAAAAATGGTGAATAAGTTGTGAACGAACATTTAGTATAAAAAAGAGGCGAAATTGGAGAAAAATTGTGGTTCACGAAGAATTTGAATGTTAAAAAATCGTAGACGGACGTTTTACGAATTAATATTAAGTCATCAATTCCAATTCGGAGCTGAGTGGAAGGTGCAATTTGGAGGAGAAGTTTTTGGTGAGCATAAGGAAGGCTCAGGAAATGTATTTAGGTGACTATTATTCAATGTTTATTCCAAAAATAACCGATAAATTTTTTTCTATTTAAAAATTTTTTGAATAACTCATTGAATAATTTGATTCAACAAGATCATTATAATATTATGGAGGGGACGAGCTATGAAAAATCCTCAACAACATGAAAGAAATGTGTGGATGATTCAGAGAAGTCCAGGATTACGACTGACTCCATGATACAACTGGTCGACGACCTTCGAACGATTCCCAATGACAACAAGTACATCAATACTCCGATGATCGTCTATCTCTACAGTTTCGCTCTGAGCAAAAGAAATAAAGAGGGTAATCGAGAAAAGACAGTCAGAGTTATGGAGAAATCCTTCATCAAGAAAGAAAGCCACTTGCCTGCCTTGCTGGAAGAATCTACAACAGATCAAGTTCGTGGAGGGTCGACACACTGATCAAGAGAGCCTGAAGAGTGCCATGCAGTAGTGCAGAAAAGGATTTAATGTTCAACCGAACAAGTACGAATTCTCCAAGAGTGAGGAGCAGCACATTGGAATAGTCCTGAACAATTTGATAGGCAAGAAAGGCAATCTCTCAAGTCTGAAAGAATACTGAGACGTTGCAACATTCTTCGAGGTCTCTGTTCTCACCGAGGATTACACCAAGGCCCTGCAGGCAGGTGAGTGCATGTTGAAGCTGAAACCTCCAAGCTGGTACCTAAAATTTACTATTGGAAAAATTTCCCTTATCGATAGATTCAGGAAGAAAAACGAGGATACTAAAGTCTCTCCAGAAGAGCAAGTCTTCATTCGTTTTTCGATGGATTTCTTCGCTGAAGCAACTAAATCTGAAGTGAGGGATAATATTAGATTTTCTCTCCTGATTCTTCAGCCCACAAAGTTCTTGATGCCAAGTTATGACAATGCGAATCTAGGGGCTGAGGAGAAGTCCATTCAAATCTGAAATCTTTGTTTGGACAGCATGAAAAATTAACAACAAACAGGTCCATGACTGGCTGTTCACTGCTAACACGACTCGAAGTATCAGTTTATAGAAGAAGTTCTTTCCCTCGAATGCAGACAGAGATTCTACGAACTCGTCCTCGAAATGACGGCTGATGAAGAACATATGGTGACAAATCTGGATGCCTACATGACTGATAAGCAGATGAAGTTCGAGTACGAGCTCGATGATCAGGGTAAGAGGAGACACAGGAACATCGTGCAGTATTTGGAATCTGTCAGTGAGGATGGATTATCCAAGATTTTCGTGGAACAAGTGAAAACAGAATGAATCCACTATTTCTCATTAGACGAAGCAGATCCTCGACGGAGTGAAGTATCTTCATGATCAGAAGATTGTTCATCGCGATATGAAAGGTAATTGATTGGGAATTATCATGAAAACCTGAAGTTTCGAGAGATTACACTGAATGAAAAAATTATTATTATTAGATAAATGACAATAAAATAGTTATGAAAGATTCAGTATTGTAATGGGACGTTTTCTATGTCGTTGCAGTTATTATCAACAAATTAATCAATTTCAATACCAAATACTATTACTTAGGAGTGAATAAATTGCATAGACTACCACAAACGAGATGAAAAGTTTTTCAACAATAGCTTCAGTGCAAATCAAGGTGATAATTATTTTAGCATTCTTTGTATCCGTAGGATTACTCTATATTATTCCGGTCTAAGAGAGCAGAAAAATTGCTTACGGAAGCAATCAAAAGTCATAATTCGACTTTCCGAAAAGAGATACATCTCTCTTATAAACTTTATTATACAACTAAAGTATGATGAATTTGCCACAATGGCTAACCCGTCCACCTTACCTTATCAACTATTCGATTTCACTAACTGCACATCGTATAGTTCCCTATCATTAGTACAGGACGAAAAATATCAACTCTTTTTCTTTTTCATATTCATTAGAGACGCTCACTATACAAGCACCAATTGTGGTTTAATTCTATGATATGATGAGACTATTACGCAATTAGAGAATTTTTTCCAAACCGAAGTATCTGTGCTCAAGATTAGGAGCAATAAAAATCGTGGCGGAAGAATTTTTCTTCCAGTCACCAATCATTTATAACCTGTGGAAAGAATATCATTGACCTTAACTTTGAATCTAATGATAATAATATCACCCGGAAGTAGCCCTGAAAAAAATTTTTCATTGAGGTTTCCAATTTTACATAATGTAGTTAAAGAAAGTCTATATATAGATTTTCTTTAACCACATTAAGTGCACACATTGGTGCATTTCGATTGGATATTCATATAGGAATACCCAATTGAAATAAGTTGAAGGATCATAGCACAAAATGCTAAACGGTTCAATACCAGTCGTGACTGGTTAGTTATGGTTTCTCCCACCTGGATACATGCCTCAACCACTCATTTGCCGCGATCGATGTTCAACATGGTTCGTTGTCAGGAAGAATAGAGGAAGGAGGCCGAACTCCATACACTAGGCATAGGGCAGAAGACCGGGCTGGTCGATGTTATAGGTGGCATTAGGATCGCCCAGTTGCACGACGGCGGGTGGGGGATAGTTGGGCTGATATAAATTACGAAGATTGCATATTTTTTCTTGATTATTTTTCCCAATCGGATTTCGACCAATCAGAGCGCAGTATTTGAGGCTACCCGACAGTTTTATTTCGGATACTTCCTCGTAGCTTTTCAATATTTCGCAGTAGTTCTTCATTTTTTTTACCTGCATATTTCGCAGTAGCTCTTCATTTTTTCAGCTCATTTCAGATAGAATCTTATATTTGACATGAAAATCGGGCTATTCTATTAACATAATTAGTTCAAACCTTCCCCAATTCACCTGCTGATATTATCCACTGCACTCTGTTTAGCCAAAATCCAATTGGGAACAATAATCCGACAAATACCCCTCGAGATTCAAAATGAATCGGGTATTACCCTCAAGCTCCCCTGCCAACAAACCATCGTGCCAAATTTCGCAGAAAAATCCCTCGCGCAAGCGTAGTATTTGAGGCTACCCGATAGTTTTATTTCGGATACTTCCTCGTAGCTTTTCAATATTTCGCAGTAGTTCTTCATTTTTTTTACCTGCATATTTCGCAGTAGCTCTTCATTTTTTCAGCTCATTTCAGATAGAATCTTATATTTGACATGAAAATCGGGCTATTCTATTAACATAATTAGTTCAAACCTTCCCCAATTCACCTGCTGATATTATCCACTGCACTCTGTTTAGCCAAAATCCAATTGGGAACAATAATCCGACAAATACCCCTCGAGATTCAAAATGAATCGGGTATTACCCTCAAGCTCCCCTGCCAACAAACCATCGTGCCAAATTTCGCAGAAAAATCCCTCGCGCAAGCGTAGTATTTGAGGCTACCCGATAGTTTTATTTCGGATACTTCCTCGTAGCTTTTCAATATTTCGCAGTAGTTCTTCATTTTTTTTACCTGCATATTTCGCAGTAGCTCTTCATTTTTTCGGCTCATTTCAGATAGAATCTTATATTTGACAGTCCATGAAAATCGGGCTATTCTATTAACATAATTAGTTCAAACCTTCCCCAATTCACCTGCTGATATTGTCCACTGCACTCTGTTTGGCCAAAATCCAATTGGGAAAAATAATATGACAAATACCCCTCGAGATTCAAAATTAATCGGGTATTATCCTCAAGCTCCCCTGCCAACAAACCATCGTGCCAAATTTCGCAGAAAAATCCCTCGCGCAAGCGCTCGCGAATTTTTAACCTGCAAAACTTGACACCCTCATTTGTTTGCAACGAAGCTATCGGCACATACCCGATAATTTAGACGCTCTTGGAGTATTACTACTGAAATATTAGGAAATTATCAAGAAGGTATTGGAATTGCCATAAAAAATGATTTACAAATTGATGTAATGTATAAAAATATGCCAGTACCATAGATAACGTTCGATAAAATTCCATCAGTTGAAAATGTATCGGGAATTAAAAAAACGTATAACAATAATAAATGAATAATCACAGAGTGTTAACGATATCCAAGTATCTTTCAAAATTTAATGCAGCCTACACTATCGATTTCGATATTTTCACACAACGAATTTGTTTATTTCACCGCAGAAGAAAGCTGATGCACTTTAATCTCCTCCGTTGTAGTATTCTAGAATAATGGACGTCGAAATTC